CCGCCCGCCCCGGCCCCCGCCCCGGCATCGACCCGCACCACGTAAATGCTGCTGAAGCCGGTGAGCACCAGGTTCTTGAGCAGCTCGCAGCCGATGCCGCCGGCCCCTACGACCAGGACCCGCGCCTGGGACACGGCCTGGGCCAGCTCGGGGCGCAGCGGCCCCGACAGCGCCGCCGCCATGACGGACACGGCGGCGGCTCCGCGCGCCTTCTCACGGGCCCGCAGGGACAGAGCGCCGGCCGCGCGCGCGCAGCGCCCCCTGGCGCCCCGGAGGGCCGCGCGTTGCCCGGAAAAGCCGCGGCGGAGCGGACCCGGAGAGTCGAGGGTTCGAGCCCCGCTGGCTCCGGAGAGCCCCCGCACTCCTGGTGCAACCGGAGATTCTTAGTTGTGCTAGTTTTTAATACATTTATAGCTCAACTATACATATTTAATATATTTATATGGTTAGGATTTTTTTTGTATATTATATTATTCTAAAGAGAGCTCAAGTAGGATTTGGCCAATGCTCCCAACACACACTGGGATTCATAGGATGTCCTGAGCAGGGCCAAGACTCAAAGATCCTGATGGGTCCCCTCCAACTCAGCATATTCTATGATATTTTTAATATATTTATTTCTAATGTATTTTTACTTTTTATATTTATAATTTCACCTAAGTTAACTTGCCTCCAGAAGTTGACATGGTAAGCTACAATTCTTCCCTTAAAACACAGTTTTGCCAGCATTCCATCACTCGTGTGTTGTTTCGTCTCCTGCCCACCTCCCCTTATTTTAAACTCACACTTTTAGTGCATTAATGTATGCTGCAGCATTAAACCTGTACAGAATGCTCCAAGGAAACTCGAATTACTTTTCCTTCAGTCAGTGAAGATACTGCAGTTCAGCCTAAGCCAACAGGGAAGGCACAGGAGAATTGCAGATGGTTTTAACTAAAGCTGCACCATCCTCCTGCACTGAAGCAGGGCTGAGCCCAGTTCTGCACCTGTGAGAACACAAGGTTAACTCACCCCAGCACCTTCTCCCCACACAAACCCATGGCACTGCCACAGTTCATTTTACCACACAAATGGAACATTTCCTGCACTGGAAAAACACAGAAAAGCTTCATGTTGGATGGCTGCAGGGACAGCAAGGCCCTTCAGCCACTCCCCACAAATTTCCAATCTGTGGTCAAATCAAAAAGAGAACTGCTTTTTAAAATGAGGCTGGCATTAAGCTCTGCCAAGAGTTTCTAAAAACTGGATTCTGTGTGGCTGATGGATACTAACAGTATAGGAGAAAGCATTTGGGAAAAAAGTAAAGGAGAAAACCTAAGAGTAACTAGAACTGTGAAACAATCTCTACACTTCAATTTCCATGTGTAACTGAAGTACACAAATTTTGCCACCACATTTTAGAGGCATGCTAATATCTTTAAATCAGTTATTCTTGGAAATAAGCACAACGTCATCAAACAATTTTAATTTTTCACCACATCTGAGGAAAATTCTGTTATGCAATTACACGCTTGTAGTAAAAGAAACTGAAACACCCCAACAGACTTTTGATCTATGCAGAGAAATACAATTTATTTAAATAATCTCTGATCCGGGTCTTCTTGTACAAAAATAAATTCTTCAAGAGGGGTTTGATGATCTGTCGGCCAACAGCTTCTCTCACATGTGTAAACTATAACAGTTCCAAATTCCACTGACAGATCTAAAAACAAAGCAACACAGGTACAAAAGGGTATGAAAAGTGACATAATCAGGAGCTAGTGCTTACCACTAGACTTCAGTCTTTGCACAAATTAATTCAGTCTCCTCTGTAAACAGCATTTTCTACTGTTAAACATTTTAAAGGCAGACAAATTAGGACTTTAAAGGGATTTTTAAATGCCTGCAATCTTATTTCACAGCATTTATTATCTTCCAAGATATTTATTATCTTTAAGAGGCAATAAAGACAAATATCCCATGGCCATGGAATTATCTCTACTGCAGTGATTTAAGTTCACTAGTGAACAACTCAAGCTGTAATCAGAGTCTCCATGAAGAAGAGTCCTCTCTTTGCTCACTGAAATCTGCAATGGAGACAGCAGATTCTCTGAACACCATCACTGTGGTTAAGCACCATCACTGTGTGGGTAGCTGGAAACAGCCCAAATTGCAGTTCACTGCACTCTCCCACAAAGGAGACTGCTAGAAATATTGATTGAACCAAGCCAAGCACCTGAGTCACTCTGGAGCATGCTGACCAGCGTGGGCATCAGCTGGAACTCAAACACTCTGCTGCTTCCACAGGTACTGCAGGCTGGAATACCCTGGTCCAGGTTGGCTGGAGGACACGTGATGAATAAAGGCTGGCCACCCCAAGAGTATCTGAGAGAAGACAGGGAGGAGAAAATGATCATTTTTAAAATATCTAAATTTGATAGGAAATCTTATGTGTTGGAAAGAAACAGTGTTCAGGAGTTGCTGAAATCTCTGAATCTGTTTCAAGTAAAAACATGGTTGCGAGTCAGAAGCTTCAAAGGAGTCATGAACCAAAAAATAACGACAGGGAGGGGGAAATACTTGGTAGGTTAATGCTTGGAAAATCTTAAGGAAAGAGCTGGATTTAGAGGAGACAAATGCTTTGAATGGACACCTCCAAAATATGCTGTACCAGAATAATTTCATTAAGTAAACTACACTTTCCTGAAAAATGGAATTGTAAACAGTGGCAATAAAAGATAAAATTCAACAAGATTTAATACCAAATTGGTCTCAAAACCACTGTAGCTATGGTTCAGAAGTGATGTTTAATTTGTCAGAGCTATCAGAGATAGCAGGAAACAAAGACCAAGGATGGTTTCCACTGAATGCCAGGCAGGAGATTCCATGCTCTGCAGGCAGGGGAAACGGGAGCCTAAGAGCACACTGAGAGTCCCCAGGGAGGGCAAAGGGAGGCTGTGGAAAGATTGTAACCAGGGACAGCCCAGGGAGCAACAGAGCTGAGGTTTTAGAGGAATGGCAAATTCAAAGAGCACAATACTGCAAAGTGACAGATCCAGTGAAAAGGTGTCTGAAAATGCTAATGCACTCGGCATAAGCAAATCTATATAATCTTTGGCAATTAATGAAAGTTTCTCATATTTCATTTCTGTCTAATCAGCCACTCAGACTTTTAACTCCTCATCAAAAAGGGTCCAGTTAGTTCCACCTGGTACTGGAAAGTTGGTGAAGAACAGCCCTGTCACTACACTGAGACAGCCTGACCAGACAGGCAGCACTGGACTCCCTGGAACAGTTGGTGTGATCCATGAAAACCTGTATTTTCTGGTGCTATGAATGATTTATGAGTTACTCTTCACTATATCCCATCCAGAATGAGCTCCTCTCTCAGGAAGAGCAGCTACTCTAAGGTTACATCTGCTTCTGCTCTAGGAAAAACAGCAGATTTACAAGACCTGAGGACTGCTGGGTGCTGAGGGGAATCCACAATGAGCTGCAGCTCTGGGGCTATAAAACAAGAAACTCCTTGCAGGACATTAGAAATTCCAAAGAGATCACAAAATTTCAGAGGAGCAGATAGCCTTGGAAATGTATCACAACAGCACACCACTGTGTTACACTTCCACCTCAACAACGTTTCTTGGAAACCTCTGCCTGGATTTCAGTGAGGCTTCAAAGACACTCAGGGTCCCTCCTCATCAGGTCTTATGTCTAAACTCTCCCATAGCCAGAGCCACGGTCTCTGACCCTGCTTGGCTTTTCATCTACTTAAACTTTGTATCAAGAAAGCCCAACCAGGGACTGAAGTCTGACCAGATAAACTCTCCCATAGCCAGAGCCACGGTCTCTGATCCTGCTTTCATCTACTTAAACTTTGCATCAGGAAAGCCCAACCAGGGACTGAAGTCGGACCAGTGACATGGCAACAGCCTCCACAGCAGCTTTTTTTAAATTAAGGAATTAAAACATACATATATTTCCAAATAAATAATTTATTTTGATGTAGCAACCATCCATGCCAGTGATTTCTATCTCCCTGTTACAACCAGATGATCAACTTACCTTAAAATCTGTTCAGGACATACAGATATTCTTTTCATGAATTTATGGAATGTGTGGTCCCAGTTTTTGACTTCATTCTTCTCATATTTTTCATTACCATCTTCACCTGCAAAACTGTATGAAAAAAAGAAACAAACTGTCCAGTAAGGTTTCCAATATGACATGTTTTAAATAAGAAATGGTTACTATAAACTCACCTTAAATTATACTAAATACACTGAAAAAAGATATACAAGTTAAGAGAAAATTCCTGTTAGAGGTTGCAAGTGAACATTTTGCTTCTAGTTCTTTGGTTTCTGGTCTCTTACAATTACTAACAGTGTTTTCAACTGTCACATGGGACTCAAATCCACCAGATATCTGCTGTATTCCATCAAAACTCCCTTCCTCTAATAACTTCTCAAACATTTTTGTGCTTTTAAAATTATGATGTTGTGTTTTTCAATTTTGAATCAAGCCTAGTTAAAGTTCTACGATTTTGTAACGGTCAACAAAAATCAACAGGACCCCCACTGCTGAAAAGTCTTCTGTGCAGATTCTGCAGTTGGCAGCAGCTTTAGCTATAAACAAATTCAATGCTGTCCCCAGTCCAGGCACAAGAGGCCAAAAGTCCTCACCGTGACCACCTAAGTTAAATATTTTTTGAAGAAAATGTTTTCAGTAACCACGCTCAACAACTGTTTTTCAGGCAACCTTTACTAAACCTTCAGGTGTCTTTCCATCAGCCAGCTCTCTAGCCAAAATCCCTAAAAAATTAAACTCCTAAAAAAGCAACTGAAACCTAAGAAAAGCTTTAGCCCTGTAAAGAAAAAAGCGTGAAATGTCATGATATAAAGTCATGGCATTTGGCACAGATCTTGTTTCAGAGATTGACCATCCATTGCACCACCTGGAGCCCGTGACCACTGCTCAGTCACTCAGAAACAGCACAGCTACAACCACCTTTGAGTAACTCCAGGTTTGGCAGCACTGGGTGCACTGCTCTGCAGTGCACAGCACCCCAGTGGTTCCTAAAGGAGCTTCCAGACAACACCATTCAGCTTTCGTGGGAGTCCCATTTAGATTCTCAGTCAGCATACAGGAAACCACACAATTCCTTCCATTTCACCATGAAACGCAGACCTGTTCTCACCTTTCTGACATCATCTGCTCCAAATCAACACACTCTCTCTGCTGATACTCCTTCAGTAGCTTATCTGCATGATCTGTATCAAGGAAACCCATGTAGTCTTCCTCATCCACAACATTAATGTAGAAGGGCTGGAACACAGGAGCTGAAGCAGCCATTGCCATCACCATGTCCTCCCTGGCTGCAGGATGTGTGTCCTGGGCACCTGGGCCATCCATGTCCTCCCTGGCTGCAGGATGTGTGTCCTGGGCACCTGGGCCATCCATGTCCTCCCTGGCTGCAGGATGTGTGTCCTGGGCACCTGGGCCATCCATGTCCTCCCTGGCTGCAGGATGTGTGTCCTGGGCACCTGGGCCATTGGCAGGCTCAGACAGGTGGAGCTGCTGGAGCTGGCATGCACACTCCACTTCACTGCTCACAGCTTCCTTCAGGCCAAGTAGCTCAAGGGAGGCACACGCAGGAGCCTCTGCTCCATCACAGGCTCCCCAGTCATCTGCATCTTCACACCAATCCTTCGCAGCTAAGTTAGATTCTTGTTTCTGAGAATCAAAAAAAAAGGGGAAGAGAACATTGCCAAGGTCTGCCACCCTGATGCACTTCAAATTCAGTTTTCACAGATGGGAGAACTGAGACCTCAACCTAATGCTCAGTCTTACTGCACCTACTCTCCTCACCGTGGTACTTTCCAACAAACCACGTTTACTTCCCACACCAGCAGTTAGAGCAAAACCACCTCACACTGGAGAATCTGAGCAAGAATTCATCAGCCTTTTGAGTGGCCCTGGTGCCTCCTGCTGCCATCGCTGGCTGTGGCGCAGCCGCTGCCAGCTGCAGGGGCAGCTCCAGCTGAAGCAGCTACTGCACTCAACAGGAATTCTGCACCCAAAGGGCAGAACACAGAAGGAAATAATAATAACACCACCTTCATTTTACCAGAGTAAAGCCCGTTTACCGCAGGCCAAGATTCCACATTGCAAATGCACCAACTGAATACCAACCTCCTTGCCCACCTCCACTAGTTTGGTGCCACCCGACTCTTCCAACCTGCTTTAGCCAACATGCTGTTTTTCCTCACAAGTATATTAATAATATGGAGTCACATTAATTCAAAAGCTCGTGTTAAATTCAAAGAGATAATTTAAAAGAGAAGAAATAACAGGTTAAAAATCCAAACCTAAACAGTATAGCCAAATCCACTTGAAGTTGGAAAATAATGTTTTGTCAACTGAACTAACTAGAGTATTAAGTATCACTTTTGGCCTACAGCTGGACTGCAATGTCCCCTTTAAAACCAGCCTGGCACAGATCACAAACAGGTGCTTAAACACTAAGTAACTGTCTTATCGTAAACAGCACAGTGCAGCGACAAAAACTCCGTGCCCACGACGTCTCCACGCAAGCACAGAAGGTGACTGGAAACCATCCCGGAGTGCAGCTTCTGGAGGGAGCTCACGGTTACGTGAACAAGGAGATGCAGGCTGTGAGTTCATCGGGCTCCGCCTCAGAGCGTTCCCCCCGCAGCCCCGGCCAGCCCGAGCCGAGCCGAGCCGGGCTGATCTGAGCTGTACCTGCTTCACGCTGAGAGCTCGGCTTTGTTTATCCTGGGCCTGCGAGTACTGGGAGCGCAGCACCTTCCAGCTTCGATGTGCCGGGCAAAGAGAAACACAGGGTGAGTGGGACAACTGACCGGCGGCAGGAGTAACAACAATAACAATAATGACAACAATAACACCGAGAAGCGGCCGGCCCCGCGCTCACCTGCGGGCGGCTCCCCAGCAGCGCGGCGCGGCGCAGGCGAACACGTGGAGCGCGCGGTGCGCGGGGCCGCGCTCCAGCGGGCAGTACACCTGCACCAGCAGCAGCAGCGCCCGCCCGCACCGCGCGCACCGCGGCGGGCCCGCCCGCACGGCCGGCACCCAGTCCTGCAACACCGACACCTCCGCTCAGGCCCGGCCGGGGCGGCCACGCGCCCCGCGCCCCGGCCGGGCCCCNGCCCCGCCCCCGCCATGGCGGCGTCGCGCAGCCCCAGCAGCACGGGCGGCCCCCCCGCCATGGCCCCGCCGTGCGCGCGCCCGTCCGTCCGACCCGCCGTGCGCGCGCCCGCGGGCCGGGCGTTCCCCTCACGCCGCGGCGCGGCCGAGGTGCCGAGCCCCGGCCCGGGGACACGGGGCTGGCCCGAACCGGCCCTGCCCTGCCGGAGTCACGGCGCTGATTCACCCACACTTCTCCGCTCAAAGGCACTGGGTGGCAAATCCACGAAGGGAGCAGCACGACCGTCCAAACTTTCCACTCTTTTCACCTTTTAGCAAACAAAGACATTAATGTGTATTGGTTATATTGGTTACAAGGTACGTAGTTCCCCTAATAATTAGAATTCTCTCTTCTGTTGGTTAATGAGTGTTCTCTCTCTCTCCTCCTGTGTTTCCTGGGTGCTGCTCCAGGACTTGGTGCTCCTGACCCGCCCCTGCCGCAATTCCCCTTTACCCACTCGGGGCTGGTTCCTCACAGTCACTGAGTGGCCTTGGTTTGTTTCTTCCTTATCTTGGGGGTTCTGACCAAGGCCCTCGTGGCCCCCGAATTCTGCGTTCCTCGTGTATCGATGGAAATCCTTCTCCCAAGCTCTGTTCACCTCCCACGGGGCTGAGATTGGAACATGTCCAGCCCCAAACCTTAACAAGGCAATTCTGCTGACCAGGAATTTGTATTTCTAACACCTGGACATCACTAAGAGCTTGTTGGACTCTCTGTTTCACAGATTAAATCTCCCTCCTTGTTGATCAGGTTTGTAAGTTACAAAGATCAGACAGCAAAGAACATCCTATCTTAATAAAAATTTGCACATTTCACACTTAGCAACAAGATGATCTGAGAAGCAGGACTGGCACAGAACAAACATACCTGGTTGTTACTTGACCACCTTGGAAAGGCAATTATAGTAATTATGGATAATTTAAAAACTTCAAAAAAAATTGAGGCTTTTATTGACAGAATGTGAAAAACAGAACAGCAGCAGTTCTTGCTGAATAGTATCAGTAAATATACTGCTAACAATTTCTTCAGCTATAGGTGCAGCTGGGAATCTGGACCAAGTGACCATGAATACTAAAGCTATGAAATAAAATGGGGTTTGGAACATAATGTAAGTATCTGCTGTTTAAATGTAGCCTATTCACTGTGGCTGTGGTGTTATTCCTTTCTCAGCTGTTTGACAGGGTACCAGTCTTTGTATTTGGGGTTTAAAATCCAGAGATGGACAGAGCACTTCCTCTCACAGAGTAAGAAATGACTTTGTTATCATGTGTGCCTAATAAAAGACCTCCCTTCTACCCAGGAGTTATACTTATGGCTTTGCATTTCCAAAGACACAAGGTTTCTTCTGTCTTGTTAGGATAATGATTTTTGTGAATGTACAGGGACATTGATTCAACAAACACACCACTAATGGACATAAAGGCTGTGTCAGACCAAAACAAGGGAAGGGGTAAGAAATGTGTGACAGAACTAGCAGCATGGTTGCTGCAGTTAGCTGTTACTAATTGCCACAACTGGCGTTCTTCACAAGGTATGGAAAGTGCACAAAAGGGGGTGTCCAGGTATTGCAGATGGTACTGCCTGAGATCCACAGGTGTACAAAAGCAAGTGCACCCAGAGGTGAGGAGGAAGAAGACACCTCCAAAGGAGTCAACACCTGCAGCAGGAGCTTGGGCTGTCCCTGTGAGAGCCCCAGGGTGCTGTGGGATGTGGGAGCTGGGCACCAGTTGAAGGGGTGGTTGGAGTAGGGCTGTTTGCTTGTTTGTTTATGGTCATGAGGAGAGCTCTCCTGCCTTCCTACATTGTTCCTTTGTATCCTGCTTGCCATGGAACTTGGCAAAAAAGGCACTGCCCTCCTTGTGTGCCCTGACCCCTTCCCCAGCTGTGGGAGGCTGGGGGTCACACTCTGCATGTCAGCAGATCTTCTCTCTGGTGGTGCTGGGCCAGCAACGTGCAGGGAGCACCTGCAGCCTTTGCTCCCCCCTCTGCCTCCGTGGGCATCTGTCCTGCCAGCACTGCATCCTCCTGCAGCCACTGGAGTGGGCATTTGCCAGGAAGGGTAGAAGGACACACAGTCACACCCCAGAAGAGTTTGTGAAAGAGCCATAAGCCTCAGATCCTGCACAGAAACCTGAAAAGATCTGTACCTGAAACCATTTAGGCGGAAGAAAGAACCTGGGCACGTTTCTGGCTTCTCGCCTGTGACTTGACCTCGCAATTGGCCTCTGTCAGTTAAGTGAAAGAAAAGGTAGTTCCAAAAAATCAAAGCAACATTTATTTATAACAATCACAAAGCAATAAAACAGGTAGAGATTTTCTGTCCTCTTTTGCGAGGTGTCAAGCCCGCCCCACAGGTGTAATGTGAGGGATGCTCTTCTCTGCTGCCTACAAGCTAATTCCAGTTAAAGAAAGCAGAAAGAGTCTCTAGGAAGGACAACTGAACATGCTCTTCTGCAAGAAGAAGGGCATAAGCTTATAAAACAGTCTGACACTTAGGGTATATTCTGTATTGATCATTTCCTATAGATTTCAGTTCATTTGCCCATTCCCACCTCAGTATTCAGTTTTGATATGCACTGAGTAGGTACCATGGTTTGTCTGGACATGGAAAGATTGTGGGGTTTTTTTTGCTTGCTCCACTAAATAGTAATTTTCAGTCTGACAAACATTCCAAATGCCCCTTGTTTCTCTCCCTTCACTGTGATTAGGACAGCAGATTACACAACAGTGAGTTAGAAGGTGATTATTACTCTGTATGCTGTCAAACTCATTTTCTTTGACTTTCCTTTGTGTGTTAAAGCAAACTGTAGCATCCATAGATCTTATAAATCTGTGTGTTTTCTCCTTCCAGTTTGACTTTCTTTTATGAGCTGTGCCCAAAGCTCCATTCTGTGCACTTTCAGTTTCTCTGCTGCCTTTTGCTCTATGTTTAAATAACAACATTATAATTCTCTTACCATAGGCAACGCCCATCCAAATTCACAGTTATTTACTCCTATGATGTATGGGACCTCATTGATTGATTTTTCAGACAGTAATTCCCTGGGACTCTTTGGAAAAAAGGCACCATCTACACATGCATTGCTGAAAAATAAATCCTGAATAAAAAGGGAAAAAAGAAAAAGAAAGCTTCATTAAAACATGCTATTTGCTTCTAAAAGAAGTTCAGATTTTTACTGCAGTTCCAAAGTGAAGCCAAATGAAAATACAAGAAATAATGTTATCCAAACCATCTTAACATTTCTCTGATTTTCTGCATTAGGCAGGAGGTTCTGTGAAGATTAACATTATATTTCTAATGTTTGTGAAGCAGAAATCATTATGTTGAATTTACATGTTTTCTTGGTTCAATATGGCCATGGATGTGTGGAACAGTGGGGAAAAACCACTTCTATGTTGAAGTTTCAAAGGCACATAAGCATTGTGATAAGAACTTTTAAGTAGGAGATAATATATGGTTTGATTTTCAGGTCCCCCTGGATCATCTGTGCCATTTTATTTTCCTTGCCCTGGTAGAGCACTGTAGCAGGCACAGGGCCTGCAAGGCCTCCCTGGTGGTGGGCTGCCTAAGATAAGAAATGACAAGTCATGATGACTGGACCAAAGAAGCCCCTCTCTTCTGCCTTCGGACCCTCGTTATTTCTCTGTAAGACCATAGGTCATATTCACCTTGACCTTTACTATTGGAGTGTTCCCCCAAACCCCTATACCCTATATAAACACCCACTTCTGTGCTGTTCTGCAGAAGAGCTGTCACTGTGACCCTTTGCAGAAGCTGCCAATAAAGACACGTCTGTGGAACCTCACACAACTCTTCTCCTCTCTCTCCTGCGTGTGCCGAGGCACTTAGCGAGCCAAGAGCTGAAATCATTATAGAGCTGAATTCACCAAAGAGCTGATCTCACTGAAGAGCTGAGCTGCTTGCTAAGATTGCCTGTGGCTGGGAGCCTGCCTGGGACACCTGGACAGGTTGTGCTCAGTGTACTTCGTTATCCGGGACACGTATGGCAGCCAGAGTCAGAGAGACCCCGAGAAACCCCTGCCATAATAAAAACAGCACAACAGCAAACCACAGGTAACGCCTGTGCATGCAGAAAGGAAGGGCAGGAACCTGTTTGCACTTTTCAGGCAAGAATTCACTGCAGATCTGTCAGTCATGTGCTGAAAAAGTCAAGAAAGTCAGATTTTACATCCACTTCAGGTTCTTCTACTATTACATGCCACAAAGAGTATTCTCTGGGATGAAAAAGTCTGAGAGGCCATTTAAATGCAAGAAGTATCATTTCACTTACCATTTTCTGTGTTGCCTGTAGTAGTTCTTCTTCTGTTTTTCCTCTCAAGCATTCAACCATTGCAGCTGAACTGGATTTTTCACAGCCAGAGACAGCAGCAATTTTCTGCAAGCAGTGAGAACAAACAGTTTTGGCCACATTTCCTCTGTCTGGCTCTATGAGACACTGAGTCCAGCAGGAGCTGCCAAAGCTCCTGCACAAAGGTTCCTGGAGCCTGGCTTGTCCCAGCTCCAGAGGCAGGGCACTGGAAGCCCTCACAATCCTTCACACCACGGGCTGGGCAGAAGGGGAAAACCTCTGCCTCCAAGATGTTTTGATACAGAAATATTCAAAGACAATTCTGGTAAATAACATGCTGGGCTGAGAAGGCTGGGTGACCTACAGGAGTTAGAGAATAAACCATCTGCAGGGTATCAGAGATCACATTCTGCCAGTCTTGGGGATGTCTTTTGGGCTGGAGCAAGAGTGTCATTAGAGAGAGCTGTCTCTTTTATGTCCCAGCTTCCAGGTTCTGGAAATCGCTCCTTGCAGTTGAAGAGAAAAGAAAGGGGTAGAAGCCTGTAGTTCTCAAATTAAAAAAAAAACAACTGAATTAAGACCTGTTTATTGGCACACTACAGGCATCAAAGAGGAGGGGAAGAGAAGAGTATTCAGAATCTGATGCCATTTTCCAGCCAAAAAGTGTAAGTTGAGTTTTTTTGAAGACACTACATGTTACAATATTCCTTTCCATTTCATTCTTCACTCTTTGTGGATATTTGGGTGTTTGAAAAGCAACACATCATTAAACATGTACTATTTGCACACAGAATTACTGTCTTTAATGATGGTCTCTTTTGATTCCCAAGAAGGAAACCATGTTTCAATATTCTGGACAGAACAGTTTAAGATATGCAGAACTGTTTGGAAAAAGTAATTAAAATTGCCACCAATACCCACTTGTGCATCCTCCTTAGGCTGGTCAGTGAACAAGCCCAGGGCTGCAGTGCCACTCTCTGAAATGGCCTTGTGGAACAAGCCCTTGGCCAGGGGAGATAAGACCTGTGAAAAAGCAAGGAGAAGTATGACAAGGACTGTGTTCTACCCAGGGATTTTGGGTTTCAGGATCAGCAGTGGCCATTTGGAGCACTTTGAAAGGCCATGTGGTAGGAGTGTCCTTGTGCAGCCTCTGACCAAAGTCCAGCTGTGCAAAGTGCTTTGGCAGCGCTGGCAGGGATGGGGAGTTCAGGGCCTTTCCCCTCCCCTGCACTTTGCTTCCAGCGCCTGCCAGCACCACACTGCAGGGCAGGTACAGATGGGATGTGCCCCAGGCAGTCTGGCTCTGCTGCAGGAGGGCAGGAAAGAGCTTTTGGCCAAGGAAACAGGGATGTGTATGCCAAGTACAACGAAGCCTGGCTGGGCGGTGTGACCTGTACCAAAGTGGCAGGGACTGGAGAAGGAGAGTGTCACAGCCAATGTGCTCCATGCTGGAGAAAGGATTTTACACAAGGCACATAAGCATTGTGATAAGAACTTTTAAGTAGGAGATAATATATGGTTTGATTTTCAGGTCCCCCTGGATCATCTGTGCCATTTTATTTTCCTTGCCCTGGTAGAGCACTGTAGCAGGCACAGGGCCTGCAAGGCCTCCCTGGTGGTGGGCTGCCTAAGATAAGAAATGACAAGTCATGATGACTGGACCAAAGAAGCCCCTCTCTTCTGCCTTCGGACCCTCGTTATTTCTCTGTAAGACCATAGGTCATATTCACCTTGACCTTTACTATTGGAGTGTTCCCCCAAACCCCTATACCCTATATAAACACCCACTTCTGTGCTGTTCTGCAGAAGAGCTGTCACTGTGACCCTTTGCAGAAGCTGCCAATAAAGACACATCTGTGGAACCTCACACAACTCTTCTCCTCTCTCTCCTGCGTGTGCCGAGGCACTTAGCGAGCCAAGAGCTGAAATCATTATAGAGCTGAATTCACCAAAGAGCTGATCTCACTGAAGAGCTGAGCTGCTTGCTAAGATTGCCTGTGGCTGGGAGCCTGCCTGGGACACCTGGACAGGTTGTGCTCAGTGTACTTCGTTATCCGGGACACGTATGGCAGCCAGAGTCAGAGAGACCCCGAGAAACCCCTGCCATAATAAAAACAGCACAACAGCAAACCACAGGTAACGCCTGTGCATGCAGAAAGGAAGGGCAGGAACCTGTTTGCACTTTTCAGGCAAGAATTCACTGCAGATCTGTCAGTCATGTGCTGAAAAAGTCAAGAAAGTCAGATTTTACATCCACTTCAGGTTCTTCTACTATTACATGCCACAAAGAGTATTCTCTGGGATGAAAAAGTCTGAGAGGCCATTTAAATGCAAGAAGTATCATTTCACTTACCATTTTCTGTGTTGCCTGTAGTAGTTCTTCTTCTGTTTTTCCTCTCAAGCATTCAACCATTGCAGCTGAACTGGATTTTTCACAGCCAGAGACAGCAGCAATTTTCTGCAAGCAGTGAGAACAAACAGTTTTGGCCACATTTCCTCTGTCTGGCTCTATGAGACACTGAGTCCAGCAGGAGCTGCCAAAGCTCCTGCACAAAGGTTCCTGGAGCCTGGCTTGTCCCAGCTCCAGAGGCAGGGCACTGGAAGCCCTCACAATCCTTCACACCACGGGCTGGGCAGAAGGGGAAAACCTCTGCCTCCAAGATGTTTTGATACAGAAATATTCAAAGACAATTCTGGTAAATAACATGCTGGGCTGAGAAGGCTGGGTGACCTACAGGAGTTAGAGAATAAACCATCTGCAGGGTATCAGAGATCACATTCTGCCAGTCTTGGGGATGTCTTTTGGGCTGGAGCAAGAGTGTCATTAGAGAGAGCTGTCTCTTTTATGTCCCAGCTTCCAGGTTCTGGAAATCGCTCCTTGCAGTTGAAGAGAAAAGAAAGGGGTGGAAGCCTGTTGTTCTCAAATTAAAAAAAAATAAACTGAATAAAGTCTTGTTTATTGGCACACTACAGGCATCAAAGAGGAGGGGAAGAGAAGAGTATTCAGAATCTGATGCCATTTTCCAGCCAAAAAGTGTAAGTTGAGTTTTTTTGAAGACACTACATGTTACAATATTCCTTTCCATTTCATTCTTCACTCTTTGTGGATATTTGGGTGTTTGAAAAGCAACACATCATTAAACATGTACTATTTGCACACAGAATTACTGTCTTTAATGATGGTCTCTTTTGATTCCCAAGAAGGAAACCATGTTTCAATATTCTGGACAGAACAGTTTAAGATATGCAGAACTGTTTGGAAAAAGTAATTAAAATTGCCACCAATACCCACTTGTGCATCCTCCTTAGGCTGGTCAGTGAACAAGCCCAGGGCTGCAGTGCCACTCTCTGAAATGGCCTTGTGGAACAAGCCCTTGGCCAGGGGAGATAAGACCTGTGAAAAAGCAAGGAGAAGTATGACAAGGACTGTGTTCTACCCAGGGATTTTGGGTTTCAGGATCAGCAGTGGCCATTTGGAGCACTTTGAAAGGCCATGTGGTAGGAGTGTCCTTGTGCAGCCTCTGACCAAAGTCCAGCTGTGCAAAGTGCTTTGGCAGCGCTGGCAGGGATGGGGAGTTCAGGGCCTTTCCCCTCCCCTGCACTTTGCTTCCAGCGCCTGCCAGCACCACACTGCAGGGCAGGTACAGATGGGATGTGCCCCAGGCAGTCTGGCTCTGCTGCAGGAGGGCAGGAAAGAGCTTTTGGCCAAGGAAACAGGGATGTGTATGCCAAGTACAACGAAGCCTGGCTGGGCGGTGTGACCTGTACCAAAGTGGCAGGGACTGGAGAAGGAGAGTGTCACAGCCAATGTGCTCCATGCTGGAGAAAGGATTTTACACAATCACAGGGTCACAAACTGCAGGGCTGCAGCAGCTACCAGGACTATGCACCTCGATCACTTTGCACAAGTGAAATGGGCAGGAGTCCACAAGGCCTCCTAAAGGACTTTTCTCATGAGATTAGACTTTGAGGGTTTTTTACAGTGAACAACAAAAAACCAAACCAACCAGAGTTGAATTCAGCACATGAGTAATAGAATTCTGTTATTTAAGGACAACATTTGAGTATGAAAATGGCACATTTTTATCATTCCAAATCTGTGTTGTTTTGCCTTGTTGTTGTGTCAAAGCCCCAGGTGATGTGTCACTGTAACACCATCCCTATTCTCTCGCTGGCTTCCCATGCAGATACTGAAAAGGGATGGAGGGGTTATTTCCCTAAGTAATTACAGTTCAATATTACTGTGAACTTACAAGAGCAGAAACACTGATTCCTCCTGCAGATTCTCCAAAGATAGTGACAGATCCTGGATCTCCTCCAAAATGCAGGATATTTTCCTGAATCCACCGAAGAGCCGCCACTTGGTCTAAGTATCCCCAGTTACCTCGGGCATGCTCATCACCAGTGCTGCAGGGAGAGAACAGATTTGTTCAAATGCTCAATGCAAGCAAAGAGGCAGAGGAAGATACAATCTGTGCTGTGAGAAATCATCTGCCATTCTCTACACAGAAGTTCCCTACACGACTGACAAATGGATGGCTCGGGAAGCCGAGATTGGAGCAGCAGCCTGACAAGAACAGATCTGGAAGCTGCCTTGGGGCTGCAAATTGTCCCCAGCGCTTGCAGGTGCAGTTCAGAAATGTTTCTTTGCATAAGCAAGTCTTCTGCACTTCTCTTTACAAAGGCTTTGCACACATCCTTTTGGAAATCAATTTGGAAAAACTGAGATCAACCAACTTACCTAAAATACCCAGCAATACCCAGTCTGTACTGAATTGTTACAACCACCACGTTGTCAAAGGCTGCTAATGCTGAGCCATCATATGATGAACCTGCTCCAAGAACTAATCCACCTCCATGGATCCATACCATGACCTGGAAAAAGAAAAAGAAGATCAGCCCAGCACAGGTAAGAACCCGCGGTGATAAAAAGTAAATATACCCCAAGATACAACATTCTGTGCTATTTCTCTCCTGATTCTTTCAGATTACATTTCACAAAGTGTAGAACTCTTTAAAATCTAAGGCCTGCAGGGCTGCAGAATGGCACTGAGTTTGTTACATGCCTACACTGTGTCAGTGCCCTGTGACTCTGGACAGATCATGTAGATTAAATCATGCGCTGCTTAACTACGTGCCAATACAATTTTACTTGTAAAATAGGATTTTGTGTCTCCTTTCAATTTCAGCTAATATTTGCTGGGGCAAAGCATGTAAGTTGATCATCACTACAAAAGTGCCCCTGCATGTCTGCTCGTGGCAGAGGTTGAAGGTTTGCTGTCAGATAATTTTGCTCAAGGTGTTATAAGGATTTTGCTTACAGGCAGCTTCTCCTGTTTTCCTGTAGAAACAGGTGTGTACACATTTAGGTACAAGCAATCCTCAGACACTTGCAGAAGAACTTTCTCTTTTCTGTTGGTAATCACATCTGAAAAATACTGTCCTTGTACTTGGTCCTGTAGACACCTGAATAAATGAAAAAGTAACAGGCAAGAGAGAATTCACTAAACCTGAAAGCTGTGAAGAGAAGTTGTTTTGTATTTCCCCAACAAAGTGCCAAGCAGAAACTGATCTCCAGCACCCTTTAGATTGGTATGTGAAATACATTTGAAAATATAAATGAATCGTTTCACCTCCCCAATAGCTTTTTACTTTGCAATGGTAGATTTTAGCCCTGAGACACTAAAGAAGGGCAGTAGGACAATGGGAGTGAGACATTTACAAGGTAGGTCAGATTTGTTGTGCATCTCTTATGTGCCCTTTTAAGCACTTGACTCAGCATTTTCCCCCTCTTGCTGCATTCCAACATTTCCTCAGCTCCTCTCTGTCTCTGCTCCAAAGGTTTATAGTGATTGGTGAGTGATAGCCAAGGCCAAGTGAGCCAGAGCTTTGTCTGTCAGTGCTGCTCCATCTCAGTTCATCACTGATGCCTGTGAAACAGCAGCTTTTGGTAAAGAGAGCAGCTCACAGAGTGTCTTTGGAAATGCATCCACTGGAACAGCTGCAGGTGCAGTGAGGGGGCAGCAAGGCATTTGTCTTCATGGACGGCCCTGTGTGCACATCAGTGTCATGGAAGTGCACAGAGTTTAACATGGTGAAAGGTTCCGTGTTTGATCATTGCCTTACATTGGTGGGTAGGAAGTGGCATCTCTGACACCTTCCCATGGCTCAGGTGGCTGGGGCTCGGAAAACCTCAGCGATCCAAGCGGAGGCTTAGCAAAAGGAAGTGCCAAAAAGACATTCACAGTCCTCTCAGCTGTGTCCACTTTGAATTGGTACCCTCGGACTCTCCCGTATTTGGTCTCCACTTCTGGTTGTTCTGTGGGACAGCAGCAGAATCACATCATTGCTCTGCTTGTCATAATTGCTAGATATGCTCCTTAAATATACACCTTTTGTTCACTTAAACATGCAGTTTTTGTATGTAAAACTTCAACAAACTCTCATCAGCTTTAACAGTACACTCTTCTGATCTGTTTTTTATTTGATTCTTTTATTTTACTAATTTGATTACTAGTGTTTACTCATTCAAATTTTAGATTTCCTTATTTATTCTAACATACTTTTATTATACCTTTATTAAATCATTACAGCTGACATTACTTCAGCCTTCATTTTGATTGGTCTGTATGTCCATCCCCTTCACTTACATAATATGTGTTGTCTTACCACACACACATTAGTGGTTGCATAGAGATCTTTAAATCTTTTTTCTGCCCTGGGTTGTTAGATAAAAACCAATAGATAGCTTGCATTAGGAAAGGACAATCAACAGAGAAAATATATTTGAGACCCTTGATAGTATGTACAGCCAAAAGGAAAAGCATGTAACACACCTAAAAATAGTCTGGCACAAGCAAATCCTGTTAACATTTAAGCAAGACTCATTTTAGGATTTGAGTGAAAGTTCAAAAATCGAATTACATATGTTTTACTGTGGCTTCTCGGCCTCAGCAGGCAAGATTTTGGGACAGAGATATGATTTTCCTATTTCCAAGGAGGCAAGTAAAATAAATGACTGAAAGGTGATTAAAAACATAAATGAAATTTTGCTACTGCAGCTCAATGTGTGTCCAGCTCAGCCCAGGGTTTGTGCCCAACTCAGCCCAGTGTTTGAGCCCATCCCTGCCTAGGGTTTGTTCCCATCCCTGCCCAATGTTTGAGCCCATTCCTGCCCAGGGTTTTTGACCAGTTCAGCCCAGTGTTTGAGCCCATCCCAGCCCAAGGTCTGTGCCCATCCCTGCCCAGTGTTTGAGCCCATCCCAGCCCAGGCTGTGAGCCCCGGAGGCAGCTGCAGGTGCCCTCTCGCCCTCGAGGCCCGAGGGCGGTAGCCCCGGTGTTTACCTGCGGCCACCCGCGCCGTGGCCCCGAGGAAGAGGATCCAGGCCAGCAGCGCCGTGTCCCTCGCAGCTGCCATGGTGCCGCTGGCACCGAGCCCGCAGGCCGGGCCTTTATAGGCTCGCCTGGGCCCCCTTACGCAAGGCAGCCACGGGTGAGGCGAGGGAGTGCTCGGGCTGCGAGCCAGGCCGGGGCTGCCGGGCTCGGCCGGGCACGGGGAGCCCTCCCTGCGAGGCACCGCGGCTCTGCTGGCTGACATTTACTGCAGGCCGTGTGGGAAACACAGCCTAGCCAAGGCCAAGCCAACAGCCCTGCAAAGGGGACTTTCACTGAGGTAAAACTTGAGCCGTTTTTATTCTCAGAAAAGCATTTTTCAGACAAAAACACCAATGCTAGAAAATTCCCAGTTTTTCCTGCTGGGTGCAGGAGCCACCTGACACTCAGTTCTGTGTGTTCAGGGATGTTTGGAATAGTGTTGCAATGCAGTAACAACAATAAAGAGATGAATGACCAGCTTTTGTCAAGTGGGAGCAATATTAAAGGGTGGTATTTGGGTGGTAACTCCATATCTAATGCCTCTGCAAAATCCAGAGCATTTATTTCAATACATTTCACACCCATAATTGAAGGATGATATGAAAAGGAGAGAACAGAATAGCTGAATGGAGATTTTCTGCTCACATTAACTAGGAGGTTGTGTTGGTTTTAGGCAGGTATTAGGCTCTGCCTTCTTCTTTTTGTTCTTTTCCTGACTTGGTAGCTCTTGCCCCAGAAAGGCAGTTTTGCAATTTCAGGTCATGTGAATTCTCAGCTGTCAGAAGCAGCATTTGAAAGAATCAGCTGACATGATGACAGAATGGTTTGGGTTGGAAGAAAGCACACAGCTCTGCTCATGCCACCTCTGCCATGGGCAGGGACACCTTCGTGTCCAAGCTGGCCTTGGGCACTGCCAGGGATGGGGCAGCCACAGCTGCTCTGGGCAGCTCGTGCCAGAGCCTCAGCACCCTCAGGGAGGGGAATTTCTTCTGTCCATCTGATTTAAACCCGCCTTAGCTGGTTTGAAGCCGTTCCCCCTTGTCCTGTTGCTCCCTGCCCTTGGCAAATGCCCCTCTCCATTTTTCTTGTAGGCTGCCTTGGGCTACTGCAAGGGGCTCTGAGGTCTCCCCAGAGCCTTCTCCTGTCCAGGCTGAACAGCCCAGCTCTCTCAGCCTGTCTCCAAGGAGAGTGCTCCATTCCTGCAGATCCATTCCTGCTCACACCTCTCTTTACAGCTCAGGGGCTGACAAGAGCCACAGTCCTCAAATGAGCTTAGCACATCTCTTATGCTCCTGAGTCAATGCTGAGTGCTGTGGCTGGGCTTGTGCACTTTCCTCCAAATGCTCCCTGTGTACTTTCCTCCAAATCTTCCCCCGTGTATGTGCACAGGTGTGATTTACAGCCCCTGGAGATAAACCCCAGGCAGCTTTAACTTGGCTGCTGCCAGAGCAAACTGGTGGCAGGCACTGCACTGCAGGTGACCCCAAGCAGTGCTGGCTGTGTCTCCAGCCTGTGCTGGGTTTGTGGTGGCTCCTGAGCTGTGTCCCAGTGCCCTGCACGCCGTGCCAGGCTGTGCTGGGGTGCAGCTCCTGAGGCTGAGGGCATGGCCACTGCTCACTGTGCACTGGCAGATGGGCAATGCTATGAGCCTGAGGTGCTGAGAAAACAATGAGGACTCTAAACTCACATTAAATTATACTAAATACACTGAAGAAAGATATACGTGTTAAGAGAAAATTGCTGTTAGAGGTTGCATATCGATGCAGAGTGAACCCAACATAGGGAATAATGTGCTCTGACTCCATGATTGAGAAGGCTGATCAATTGCTTCATTAAGCAAGGTTATATTACACTAATACTACATTATAATAAAGAGATAATTAACTAAAGAGATCCTCTATACTAAAAAGATACTAAAGAAAAACCAATGACTTTCTGAGACTGTCAGAACACAGCTTTGACCCAACTGGCCAAT